TGTCCTCTGGGGAGCTCTTTTATTTCTGGCATTGACGGCAGAGGGAAGGAGGAGACGGCGAAAAGTTCCTCAGGGCGGCAGGCGAGCGGGAGGAAAGGCAGACGCTGCCTGTTCCTTCTTCCCTTTTCCCCCAGTACTTGCGGTGCCGCCCGTAGTTGGTGCTTGCCCTCCTCCCCCTCAGGAAGCTGCCGTGGTGGGATGGGGTGCCTGATGTTCAGGCTGGTAGGGGTGGAACGGTGCCTTGGCCTGGTTGGGTTCAAAAACGGAAGCTAAGCTTGAACGACATGGTTATTGCATCTTATCTCCCATCTGAGTGGGTTTGTGTTTTGGTTTTCACTTCTCCAAATGCACGTTCATCGCCTGTTTAAGACTTCCTAGAGTCGACTGAGTCTCTGGTGTGTATTGGATTTGGGAGGTGTGTTGCAAGACCAGCAGTTAGAGCTGATTTCAGATCATAGAATCATAGAATCATTAAGGTTGGAAGAGACCTCCAAGATCATCGAGTCCAACCATCAACCCAACAACACCATGCCCACTAAACCATGTCCCTAAGCGCCTCATCTACCCGTCTTTTAAATACTTCCAGGGATGGTGACTCAACCACTTCCCTGGGCAGCCTGTTCCAATGTTTAACTACTCTTTCAGTAAAGAAATTTTTCCTTACATCCAATCTAAACCTCCCCTGGCGCAACTTGAGGCCATTTCCTCTCGTCCTTTCGCCAGTTACTTGGGAGAAGAGACCGACACCCACCTCGCTACAACCTCCTTTCAGGATGAACTTAGCTCAGGGATCTGCTTGGACTAACAAGCAAACAGGAGTGAGTAAAAGTACTTGTGAGCAGGAGTTGAGAACTTTTTAGGTCTTCCCACTTTGTTTAAGTGCTCGTGATTTTAAATTGGTTCTCGGAGTGCTGGCAAATACTTCTGATTAAAAGTGACGCTTTCCGGAGCATAGAAGGGGGTGCAAGATCATAGTGAACTGGCTTAATCAGCATTTACATTTTTATAGTAACGTAATTCCTAAGTGCTTGTCGAAACGCGTGAGGGACTGTTGTATCTCCCATTAATCCTCTATCTGTGTTCTAGTCACCTCTCTATAAAAGGATTTTTTTAAAAGACAATTTTAACAAAATAATCTGTTTCAGGAATAGAAATCAACTTTATTTTGGGACTCATTTGAATGTATATTTAATTTATACATAATTCACGCCGCCTGGTAGTTCTGTATTGAAATGTTTCCTACCACAGTCGGTTAGTATGCTTAGACTAAAAGTGACAGGGAAGGGTGTTTGCCTCTGGAGACGTGCTTGGGAGCTGCAGTAAATAATGTTACCTCTTAGTAGGGTCAGGAATTGGCTCAGGAATCCCTTTGGGTGTTGTGAACGCTGTCGTGATAAAGCTGTGGTAAGCCAGAGCATTGGTCTTTATACGGTGGTGCTGGTGGCAGAGCTGACACTTTGATTTCAGACCTGAAGACAGCATAATGTGCTAGAGGCTCAAGAACAGGTTAAAACCAATAAATGTAGCTATAACTTGCAGTAAGGCATTGAAAGCCCAACTCAAACCAGCTAATTCACTGCTGTTGAAGTTCAAAGTTCATTTTGGTATTTCTGAGTTGGTGATCTATCAAAATAGTTTAAAAAACACATGTATCCACTTAGGCAATGTTCTGCTTCGGTTGACCAGTACTTTTACCAGTGTGCCTAGCAGCAACCGGTCAATTAGGAAGAGAAAGCCAGTTGCCAAAATCCAGTTCGTTATGTGATTGTTGGAGATCCGTGGGCATGTATGTTTGAGGTAATGCCATTCTCTTGAGGAAGGTGTTACAAGATCTTTCATGATGCAGAGGTGGCTAGTTTGTGCTGTGTTGAGATACTGTTGGTACCTTTTGCTTTCCCTGTGTGCAAAAGAAAGTCTGCCTGGCAGGGTTCTGTCTCGGAGCTTGGAAGGTTTGTGTGTAGCCCTCCGGGTTCCCCAGAATTTTAGGTTTCAGAGGGAGAAGGGGGACAACAATAAAGTAGGAAATTAGGAAAAAATATGTCTTTCAATTTAAACTAAAATGAGAGGAGCAACTGTAGAGCCTGTGAAAAGCAGCTGGTTCTGGCTAAGACAGATATTGGACATCATAAACTTAATTGTGTGGAAAATCTACTTAGTGTTCTCTAGGGATCACAAGCACATGATTGTGCTTTTAAAGGGTCAATGTATTTAAGCTTACAGGAACTGAAACTTTCAGTGAGTCTAGAAAAATAGATGGAAGCTTTAGATAACACAATTATAACAACATTATCGCTACACTGCTTGTCATTCTACCATCCCAAATAAAAACAAATGAGCTCTGCTCATTCTCCCTCTCTTTCTGAGCTCCAGTGTAGGAGTTGCCATTGGAATTGCACTCCCAGCTGTAAGAGCACAATAAATTTGTCGGGATTACTACTGTAGTGTGACGTTCTGGGGGAAAAAAATGAATAGACGAGAAAAAAAGAGGATAGGATGAATGATGAACAGCTAAAAAGGTATGTGAGCCCTAGAGTATAGGGACTGATAACAGCACGTTGGCTTATATATAGACGTTTAAGTTAAATAATACGATGGAAGTGGCGGGGGGACAGAGAAATCCCACAGCTGGGGAAGAATTTCTTTGGACGTGACTATGGATATAATATGTGGATGAATGGAGGAGGGAAACCTTTGCAGAAATAGAGACAGAAAGCTCTGGAGGTGTCTGCCAAAGGTTAAGAAGTCTCCCTTCATCCCTCCTGCAGCTCTGGGAGCCTGCCTCTGGCATATGGTTTCAGGTTTCGTTCCAGCCACTTTCAGTTCCTGAACTCCTTTGTATTCTCTTCAGTGCCTCAGTGATGAGCCGCTTAGTAGTAGCGTTGCTGTCAGTGTGGTACAGGCAGTGCTCACATCTGTTGTGGTAAGCGCATGAAGAGTTTCAGTCTGGGTGAAAAAAAAAGAAAAAAAAAGAAATACAGTCCGTTCTCTGTTCCCAGCCATGATTGCCGTACACGTGGGGGTGCTGAGCTGGTTGCATGCAGGCTAGCTCAGGAGCAGCAGCCTACGAACAGGGCTGTGCTTTACTTGAGTAGTAAACATTGGCAGAATGTTTGAATAGGTTCTGAACCGGCTTTTGGAAGTGTTCACACAGGAGGTTTTAATGCTGATGTTTGTCTTCCTCAAAATTTTGTGTCCGAATCACCAAACTGTCTACGTAGGAAGCCTGCTGGGCGTTTGTTTGCACCGTGAGTGCTTGTTGTGCCAGCAGAGGCATGAGACAAACTTTCATTGAAAGACTTGTGCCTTGCCCCCTCTGCAGAAACTATGCTACAATTCCACAGTCCCTGTTCCTCTTCCTTTCCTCCCCAGCCCTCCCTCAATTTTTTTGGCTTGAAAACTTGTTGGACTTGACGCTATTCTTTCCCTGATGTTCCAAGAAAGGCAGAAGAGAAATCCTACCTTTCTCCTGAGTAGTGTGCCTTGGCTGTGAATACAGATCTGCCCTTCTCTGGGTTTATTTTGAGCAGGAATTTTTGCACAAAATCAGTCTTGAAAAATTCCCTTTTAGCTCCATGCATGTAAACAAGATACATGGGATGAATATGAGACGTCTCTTAACAGCAGCTGTTACCGGCTGTGGACGGTGTCGTGCTGATGCTGGAGTAGTGAGAATTTTTCTAGTATTTGTATGAATATTATTCTCATGTACATTGGGTGAATCCCATTGGCAGGCTCCAATGTCATGGACGTTTTTGGAGAGAAAAAGGTAGTGTCTGCATTACTTTGAATTTGTGGAAGCTTGCACCTGAAGCATGAAATGAATGCATGCTAAATGCAGGTGGAGCAAATGATAGCTGGCTATAAAGTATGTGTGACCTCCCCGGGAGCTCTGCTGGCACAGATGGGCAGTAGCATGGCTCTCTTACACTGCTGAATGAAGGTACAAGGTACTACCTGACAAGCGGGTTGAGAGAGACTGTCCTAATGAGTCAGGCCAGAAAGTAAAACCTTTGCGTTTCAAATAGGTGAAAAAATAAGATTAATCTAAGGAAGGGATCCATATCCAGAGCATCTTAATGCAGCTTTAGTTCCTCCCTCCCCCAGTCAGGAGTTTCTTGAGCATTTTTTTGCTTATCTGCCAGGTTGCGGGAAGGGTTTGGGTGAGACTTGGATAAAATGTTTGGACTGAAGTTTTCTTGTCTCCCTCCCAGCCTGTGCCAACAGCGCTGGCTCAGGTTGACCGCGAAAAGATCTACCAGTGGATCAATGAGCTGTCCAGCCCCGAGACGCGGGAGAACGCGCTGCTGGAGCTGAGCAAGAAGCGTGAGTCTGTGCCTGACCTCGCCCCGATGCTGTGGCACTCGTTTGGCACGATCGCAGCACTCCTTCAGGTGGGTAGGACTGGTGGCGTATTCATGCCGTGGTGCAGCACCAGCACATTGCAGAGCGTGTGCGTCCACGGGGCAGATCTGGGGAGGCGCTGGTGGAGTCCCTTATTGCCATTGCTGGGAGCATGATGTATGTTGGATCATGTGGTGAGGGGAGCAGATGTGGGAAGCTCATTTGCCATTAATCATCGCTAGCAAGGCGATGTGTGCAGAGACTGTAAGATTTCTCATTAGACAGCTTACATAGTTGGAAGGGGAACGGGTGAGTTGTTGAGTGTATGAGCTCCCCGTGGATCGTGTTCTGCTTATTTTCATATAATGTCATAGCAAAGCTACAGCAGTCTTACTCCTCAGATCTCTGATTTGATTTGTTTTGCATGAGCTTGAGCACTTCCTGGTCAGAAGGTTGCCCTTGCAGGGAGCCCGCTGGAAGGGCAGCATGGGAATGCTGCTTGCTGCTCCAGAGGTCCTTGCAAGGGAATGTACCTGCATTTCACGTGAAACCAAGCGGCTCAGCTTATCTCCGGGCAAACTGCTCTACCGCTGATGACTGGCTATCTCTCAGTACCGAATGTAGTAATTTCTTTCGAAGAAGGAAAGAAAAGAGTGCAAGACTGGCCATGTCAAACTGTTCTCGGAGCGGCCCTGAAACAAGTGAAGAAAATTAGAAGGGAGCTATAGTTGGAAGCAGGCAGATTTCTGAACGTGATTTCTCGCCCTCAGCTGCTTCCCCTGCATTGAGTTAGAAGAGTACCAGCAGCTACAGTATGAAGAGAGTGGGTGTGCTCTGCCTCTAGGCACAGGAACAACACTCCTCTTCCATCTGGAAGTTCAAAACAAAGCAGTCCCTACACTAGTAAGGAGCCAGGAGATCAAATGACCCCTTTTTTACTGAAATTAAGGTTTGAATGCATTCCTGTGACTCCTTGTCAAATTGACTCTGAGCCAGCTCTGCCCTTGCCTGGGCAGCATGGTGGCTGCCGTGTAACTTCAAAGTGATGCTTAGTGAAAGCAGGCTGTCATCTCCTGTCACCATAGTTCCTTGCTGGGCAAGTGTTTTGGTGCAGCTTTCTGATGTTTTTCTCCTTTAACTTTTCTTCATCTGTTAATTTTTAGGAAATTGTAAATATTTATCCATCAATCAACCCTCCGACTTTGACAGCCCATCAGTCCAACAGAGTCTGCAATGCTTTAGCTCTACTACAGTGTGTTGCATCGCACCCTGAAACGAGGTAAGCGTTTCCAAGTGTGTGAGTTTTCTGAGGTGTTGATGTTGACAGCTTAGCCTGTCTGTCTGAGTCCAGAAGCACATAAGCTGCTTCTTTTTTACCAAGAGAAGTGGAACAGAGGACAGAGCTGGAAGATAGGCAGCTGCCTGCTGCTTTCACTTGTTTGCACGGATTATCAGGATGACAGCTTTGTGGTGGTCCTAAATGCATTGCATTCCCTGGATCATCCTGAGATCCTGCCAGTTCCCAAAATGTTGGGTTGTGGCAGCTCCTGGGAGCTCAGCCAGAGATAAGGGTGCCTTTGTGCTGAGTGCTGTGTGCAGGATCATTGTTTTAATGAGCTTACAGTTATTTAGACCAGCAGCTTACAGTTATTTAGACCAGCTGTCCAAAGGGTGGAATGAGCAGGACTCTCCTTCCCAGAGACCATGTGTGGCAAGGGAGCAATAGCAGAGCCGTGTCTGGAGTCCTCAGCCAGTGCCTGACTTCAAATTTTCTCAATCTGTGTCCAGCCCATGTCAGCAGGGGAAAAGATGATGTTGGCTCAGCCAAAATCAGTAGCTAAGACTCAGAAGAAAACTACCCAGAGATCCATGATCTTGTGTCTAGTATGTAGAGGTTTAATTGAAACATTTCAGGATTTATTTTGTCGCATGTAGAATAAACACTACCAACCCTCCACTCGCAGAGGCGATCAGCTCCTGTGCAGGTGCGTCCTGCAGTGGAGTGGCGCATCGTGGTGTAGAGGGGGGTTTCCCTGAGCCGGGGAAACCCCAGGGGAGCGCAGGGGCCCGCCGGGAGCCGGCAGCTCTCACGAGGGCGGCTGACGAGGCGTGGGGAGGGCCCGGG